AAGGCAGGAGGTTCTGACCGCTGCATCTGTAGCCTGGCGCCCTGGTGCCTATGGGGGTGCGCCCCTCAAAGTCGCAACGGTGGTTGGGCCCGGAGACAGCGCTGACACCATCCAGGTGCCAGGGAAGGGGTAAGCGGCTAACAGTGCACATCCGAAGCCAAAGAGCGAACTGCTAACTGTGCAAGTACTTGGTGCACCTAGTACTTTCCATCACTGATCGTGGTCGTTTGGGTGGTTGATTTGGAATGCATTTGAACATCGCCGGTGGCTTTCAGATGGTTTGCTGCGCACATGTCCGGATATGTTTACACACCGCCGATTTGCTTTTCTTAACAGCACCAAATAGCACCAACGAGATTTCCCGACGTCCTCCCTGTGCCATTGTTGAAAACGTGAGAGTTCGTGACATAAACGGAGTGTGAAAGATCCGTGAAACCGGGCTGTTGCTTTGCTGTGTTCAGTTTGAACATGTTTGAACAATCTTGAAGCTCATCCGCAGAGGTGCAATCCGAGACACACCGTTACGGAGTGATGACTGCGGCCCTGGGCGTGGACTGCATCGACGATGGCTTTCTCAATGAGAGGGCCTGGGGCGAGGAGGTAGCCACCATGAGAGGCTTTGAGTCAAAGCCTCTCATGGTGGCTACCTCCGTTGTTCTACATTGCACTCTCAACTTCAATAGGCCCGGTGAGCCTGAGCTGCACATTCGCCGAGATGGCAAAAAATCAAGAGAGCCGCAGCAAGTGCCATAGCGACCACCCTGCCTGGCTTCAAGCATGCTGCACGTTTGCCGATATTGCAACAATTCAACTGGCTCGCGGGCCGTGCTACAGGAATGCTGCTGTTCATCCATGAACAGTAGGCGCGGCACGCGACATGTCGGGCCCAGTTTGGACCAAAGCATAGATTCTCCATTTGCTGAGCGGACAGCCGAGACGATGCCTGCAAAGAGCATTGTGCTGGATGCATGCCTGCATGACGGCACGTCCCTCTGCACACATGTGTACTCCTATGCATGTGTATAATATGGACATGTAAATGTATATGCAGATGCAAATGTGTATGAGCGCGTGTGCATTTGTATGTTTTGTGCCAGTGCATGTCTACGAAAATGTCTATGTCGTCGCCTATGCACTTATCTGTGTACGAGTCAACCGTACAGTTGTCAGCACGAGACGGCATGCATAAGTAGAAGACATACACATCATGAACGAACGAAAATGGAACTGTACGCATGTATTTCCGGCCTCACACATGTCAACATCCTAGATGGTTCAATGAATGGTGGTGCGGAATACATGTGAACGAAGAACTCAACAACCCAATAAGCACCCGTTCATACAAGGGCAACCGATCACTCCATTTTTCCTAGCTCCTACGTGCCAATATGATCAGCCATGCCAAAGTAAGGCCGTGCAAATGTGTCGGGGCTTGCAAAATCACGAGGACCTCGTATCGGAGGTATAATTACGGACCCCTGCATCTAGCAAACCTTAGTTCTGAGATCCCTGGGCTTATGTGGAGCCCGGAGCCCTGAGCCCCATAGTCTAGGACTTTTTCAGGTGTAACCCCCACCTGGACCAAAGACATGTTGCTTGCCTGATTTTATTTCCGCTACGAGGAGGTGCTGGGGTGGCAGCGCGTTGAGATCTCGCTGCCAGGCAGGAAGTTGGGCTTTTTGGGTTGTTCTGACCCGTAGATCAGCTGCCCGACGGTGGTGCAGCTGCGGCTCAGCTTTTCTGTTTGTCTTCATGGGCAGTACGCTTGTCCAGACATCTAAAGTCGGAGGAGCACACGTTTGCTGCGTTTTCCGCCGCAGGCTGATATGCAGCTTGCTACTGCCAAGTGGGAACGCTTCGGCGGGTTGCGAGGCACCTGCATTCTTGCGCCATTGTCTAACCAGCCAGATCCATGCAGAGCGAAGCATCTAACCTTCGTGGTATTCTGCTGTCTTGCCAAAGGAGGTCGGCTGGTTCGGGATATGTACCCCTTTTCCGGGCCCAAGCAACAAATAGAGAATTCGATCATGAAGCCCTGCACAAGGGCGGCTTGCAGCCATTGCGGCCAGAACGTTGGCCTCCTGGGTTTAACAGGACTAGGCATAACGCTCCGGCGCCACGAGAAGCGCTGCCGGGCCAGACGTGCAGCGCCACCACCACCACCACCACCACCACCCGCTGTCTGCGAGCTCCTGCCGCGGGTGGATGTGAGCAAGGACATCCAATGGATGTCAGGCCAGGAGATGGCCAATATGCTCACAATCACCGGAGCCGAGCTGAAGGCGCTCTTGGAGGTGGATGAGGAGACAAAGCAGCTGGTTACGACCAGCGCGTTTGTGGCCTGGCGCCCCGGTGCCCATGAGGGTGCGCCCCTCCGGGTCGCCATGCTGGTGGGACCCGGGGACACCGCTGACACGGTGCAGGTGCCAGGGAGGGGCTAACAACACACAGCCGAAGCCCGCGAGGGAGCATAATTAATTGATCACGGGTCTGCATGTTTGAGTGGTCTCATCATGTCTCATCCGGGTTCCTGTAGAATGCTTTTTTGAGCATCGGATTGTTTGCTGCACACGTGTCCGGTTGTGTTGAAGCCGTGCGTTTCTTCAAAAGTACCCGAAGACTTTCCCGACGTATATACTTCCGGCCTGATCTGGCAAAACTACGCTAGAATGCTGGATTTGTTCACATACAGCAGGTCGGGCTTCCTCCACCCAGCTGTGATGCTCGGCTCCGACCGTGAGACGTTGGCTCAAAGTCTTCAACTTCGCGAGTCGAGGCCATGCCTTTACCACTCAGGCTCAAAGGTCTGCGGGGATGGCTGGTGGCACATTGAATCGGTTCCGCAAAAGAGTCAATAGAGTCGAATCCAACGCAAACTTGCCACCAGCCAGCCAGCTGCGGCCGGGAATCGAAGGGGGGTTGGGGGGTGCTCGTCTTAGGGGTCCTGGTTTGAGCATGCTTCACCACTGCTGCCGGGCTGCTGCCCCTTACACGTCGATTCCCATATCGTAACCCCCCCGCCCCCCTGCTATTCCGATGCTCGGATGATTTCATGAGTCCTGAAAGTCGTCGCCTCATTAGACGATCTCTTAACTTCGACCGCTCACAAGGCATGACGGTTGCCCCACATTGAAACACAACCCCTCATTACGCGATGGTGTTTGATCCAGTTGTTGGCGATGGTGGTTGAGCTCATATCTTAAACCCGACCCTTCATCAGGTCATTAAGCGATGTTTGATCCCATACCTTAAAGCCGCACTCCCATCATGCTGTGGCAGTTGATCCCGACAGGGCGGCTGGCCCTCCATACACGCATCGCACTGAAGAATACACTACAGCATAACTTAGTGTAGTGTCATGTAACACAAAAATACTAGGATTTTCAAATTACCTATTTAGCAATATCATATAGCAAGCAAGTTTATGTGCACGTACGTACATAGATACTTGGCTACCCTCTTCCCCTCCTGTCCTGGCCATCTCCCAAAGAACCTTGACGCTCCTCCGCACAGGTCAAGGCTGAATCCCCATATTTGGGACCGATCGACCAGATCGTTAACGTGGAGTGCCTCGACGATGGCTTCCTCAAGCAGAAGTCCTGGTGCCAATCCGTGGCAATGACGTCTTTTTTCGACTTCAAGGTGGCGACCGAGCGCTGCAGAACGTTGCAGAACTGTGCCCGTCGCCTAGCCGCACGTGGCGGCGGCTAAGTCGCTGAGCCACGCATTCCCCACTTAGTTGGCATACTTGGCTGTTGCCTTGCTGTTGTTTCTTCGTGCACTTAATTCTGCCTGATTGAATTTCATATTGAACTCAGTGAACCTGAGCTGCGCATTCGCCGAGATGGCAAAAAGGTACCAGAGCCTGCAGGAAGTGCCATCGCCATAGCCGCGCAAGCCTCTTGCTAGCCCTCCTTGCCCAGATGCCACGCCTAAGCCCTCCCCCCTACCCCAACAGGCCCGAAAAAGAGCCCTCGAAGGACGGCTCTTGGCAGCTCTTGGGCTGGCAGCTGGCAGCAGGCGTGTCGACGCTGACGGCCGGAAGTGCCTTGGGATTTCCGTTTACTTACGATGTTTCAGGTTAGTGGTTTAGGGTGTAGGACTTCAGAACGCCTCGGATTTAGTTAGAATTTTGGTTTCATGGTTCATTGATGTTGATTGGCGTGGTTGTGGTTGTGGTTGTTGTCGTGTTGCTGCTGTTGCGGTGGTGCCGGTTTCTCCTGGAGCGGAGCGTGCGCAAAAATGCATTTGGATTCGGATTCCAGGTTGTGCCCAATTAATGAAGGGTATAGACGAAAGCATTGCTGTGCCGTATTGTGCCGTCAATAGTGTTAGCCTGGAGCCATTTGGTTGTTACAGTCTGTGTCTCAGCGTATACATCACCCGGGGCAACCGGCGTTGTTTTAGATTGTCGCCCGAGGCCCGGAGCGATTTCAAGCTTCTAACAGCGCATCATAGCGCATCGTGAAAGCCACAAGGCAGTGGCACGCGGCACGAGCTCGTGTACCGCGGTGGCCACTTCCTGCTGTCCCTACCCCAGAGGCAGCCAATGTTGAGAATGTATAGTCCACTTAAGTGAGGTAGAGTCTGGGGCCCAGACTGCACGTGTCATGTAGCGCGCGGTTGATTGCGGAGCACCTCTCGTAATTCCATGTGTGCGTTGTGGGTTTGTGCGAGAGATGTGCGAACAGACGAGCCGAGATGAGCCGAGCAGCCGAGTATCCCAGCTCGTGCACACGGCTGAGGGCAAGCACCTGTAGGTTTCCTGCCGTATGGTGTACTGTGGTTTGGTGTAACAGGTGTATCAAGATGATCTGCTTTTCCTCAATCCCCGTCGTCGGATGAAGATCCCAGTGAAATGAAGAGCACTGAAAGCTTCAACCACAAGATACTACGAAGGAGTCCCGAAAAAAAAGCCAGAAGCCGTACTGTACGAAACATTAAGAAATATCCGCAGGTTTCCAGCGGCGCTTCTGCGCTGCCCGAGCCCGAGCGGGTGAGTCTCCGCTGCTTCACGGAGGGCTTCCTGACCAGGCGGGCTGTTTGTCATTTAACGTAGCAGCCGGAATAGACACGTATATTATTTCTTCAAGGGTTCCTTATTGCAAATATGCTGAAACAAGTTCCGAAACTCGATTCTCGTTACTATATGTCAGGAACTTGATTGAGGGAACCCGGGTTGTGTTCACCGTCTACTCGCAGGACCTTAAGTTTTGGAAACAGACCTGAGCTTGAGATTTTCGTCTATAGATTCATTGTAGTAGATACTCGAGACGGCTGTATCAAGCTGTTCTCATGCGTCGGCTACGGGCAATGCCGCAGCTGGACCAAAGAAAACTTCTTTGCCTGATTTCATGTCGCGCCTTGAGATCTCAATGCCAGGCCAACGAAGGGAGTTCCGGGCTTTGGGCTCTTTGGGATCTTCTGACCTGTAGATCACCTGCCCGACAGCCGCAGAAGCTTGTTGGTCTGTCTTCATGGACAGTACGTTTGTGCAGACATTTGCAGTCGGAGGAGCACACGTTTGCTTTTCCGCCACAGGCTGAGATGCAGCTTGCTACTGCCAAGTGGCGAACGCTTCGGCGGGTTGCGAGGCACCCGCATTCTTGCGCCATTTTCAAACCAGATCTTCGCGCAGAACACAGCTCTGGGCTTCGTGGCATTGTGCTGTCTTGCCAGAGGATGTGGGTTGGTTTGGGGTCTGGTAAAGAGTTTGACGCGGTCGAGCATATGTACACCTTTTCCGGGCCCAAGCAACAAGTCAAGAGCATTCGATTGGAGTTTGTCTGGCATGAAGCCTTGTGCAAGGCTTCATGCCAGACACACTCCAATCGAATTCTGGTGCCTATGGAGGTGCGCCCCTCCGAGCCGCAACGGTGGTCGGACCCGGAGACAGCGCTGAGCTGACGCCGTCCAGGTGCCAGGGAAGGGCTAAGCGGCTAACAATGCACATCCGAAGCCCAAGAGCGAACTGCTACCAGTACCTGCTACTTGGTGCACCTAGTACTTTGCATCGCTGATCGTGGTCGTTTGGGTGGTTGATTTGGAATGCTTTTGAGCATCGCCGGACCGCTGTGGCTTTCAGATGGTTTGCTGCACATGCGTCGGGATATGTTTTTTGTACACCGCCGATATTGCTTTTCTTAACAGCACCAAAGATCTTTCCCGACGTCCTCCCTGTGCCATTGTTGAAAGCGTGAGAGTTCGTGACAAACGGAGTGTGAAAGATCCGTGAAACCGGGCTGTTGCTTTGCTGTGTTCAGTTTGAACAATCTTGAAGCTCATCCGCAGAGGTGCAATCTGAGGCACCTCGTTGGGGAGTTATGACTGCGATCCTGAGCGTGGACTGCGTTGACGATGGCTTTCTAAGGAGAAAGCCATCGTCGATGCAGTCCACGCTCAGAACCGCAGTCATCACTCCCCAACGATGTGTCTCCGCTTGCACCTCTGCGGATGAGCTTCAAGATTGTTCAAACATGTTCAAACGGAAGCCCATCCGCAGAAGTGCAATCCGAGACACATCGTTACGGAGTAATGACTGCGGTTCTGAGCGTGGATTGCATTGAGGATGGCTCTCTAATGGAGAGGGCCTGGGGCGAGGAGGTAGCCACCATGAGAGGCTTTGACGACGTTGCGGCGGAGCGCTGCAGAGCATTGCAGCATGTAGCCCGTCGCCTAGCGGCACGTGGCGGCGGCTAAGTCGCCGAGCCATGTTTGTGTTCTGATCGTTCTCCACCTAATTGGCAGGCTTTGCTGCAGCCTGGCTGTTGTTCTACGTTGCACTCTCCACTTCAATAGGCCCCGTGAGCCTGAGCTGCACATTCGCCGTTATGGCAAAAAATCAACAAAGCCGCAGGAAGTGCCATGGCCACACAGTAGGGTGCGGCATGTTGCATGGCAGTCTTGTAGGGTCCGCTTGGTTTGAGCCCTTGTCTCTTGGTTATTGGCGAGGAATTTTTGGTGGGCCCAAGCACGCCCTAGCAGATTTGGGTAGTGAACCTGCAGCTGATGAAGCCTTGCACGCGGGCGGCTTGCAGCTGCTGTGGCCAGAATGTTGGCATTCTTGGCCTGACGGGATTTCCGTTCACGCCAAGAATGCCAACATTCTGGCCACCGCTACACGTCGCCGCCATGACAAGCGCTGCCTAGCCAGACGTGCTGCAGCTGCAGCCATGGTGCAGCCCGCGTTCTCCGAGCTTTTGCCAAGAGTAGATCTCCACAAAGATGTTCAAACGATGTCAGCCCAGGAGATGGGCGACATGCTGACGTTGACGGGAGCAGACCTCAAGGCTCTGCTTCAACCCTTCACTTTGGACATTGCAATGTCAGCAGCCAGGAGCCCAGACGAACTTAGGAATAAGATTCGAGAACCGGCTACGTCTACTGGCCTTGTCTACGATGAGCAGTGCTGTTGATTGCATGAAGATGCCATATCCGCTACAGCTATGCATACAAGAAATGCATACATGCAGACGTACGTACAAACATACATTACATAGATACATGCATACATGCATACGTACATGCATACGTACATACATGCATAGACAAATACACACATACGTACAAGCTCGGGAACACCAAAGCCCTATGCAGGATTATAAACCCCTGAAAACTCAAAGCCCTGAGCCCTGGAGTCTAAGCTCAAGTCTCAACCTTGTCAAACCCCCCCCCCCCAGGGACACGCTTCCAGCCTGAAGCTCTAAGAGTTGAAATGTTAGAACTTTGAAAGCATCCTAAAGCCTTGTTTAGTAGCCCTAAACCCTGAAGACTTAAAGCCCTGAGCCCTCACCTTATGAAAGTCCTCCAAGGTTTCGCAGGCTGCTCGGGATTGCCCACGGCTCGGATCCGACTCATCGAAGCCGGGGAGGACCGGGGCTGTTTCGGCGAACTTTCCTGACGATTCTTCAGGGTTTGTGGTTCGCCTGTAACAGGGCTTCCTGCGGGTTTTGGTGCACGGGCCGCACTGGAGATGCCAGGTCTTGCAGACATTTGCAGATCATGGGACTGATTCGGACTGATCATGTCATGTCAGGGCACTTAGGGCTGACAGCTAAAGTGACTGCATGGGAGGTCAACTGCCCTCGACTCGAGTTGGTTGCCACCCTCAGCGCATAGCCCGGGGCTTTGGTGGGGACTCGGTCGGTGTGAGGTAAACGTCCTGTTTTGCATGAGGTGTCGCCCCCTTCAGCTGTCAGCTAAAGCCCGCGGCAGGCAGAAATGGGGGCGAAGGGTTGAGGGATCTTGTGATGCGAGGCTTGAGACTCCCGAGATAGCCCTAACCTCTTCTTGCTTTCTTTTCTGCTGCGGCCGCGAGGCTGGTGCTGGGCTTTGGAGCTCCGGCCTAGGCGCCGAGGTCGGGCGTCTTTGCCTGGCTTGCTATGTTAGGCTGGCGCCAGACCCCGCAGCCGCCGTTAGACCTAAATAGCGCCGCTTTTAAAAAGTGCATGTGCCAAAGACACGAGGATGGCCTCGGCGAAAGCGGATGCAACAGCGGTGCAATTGGCTTCGCAGCTGGACAGCATCGGGGATGTAGTGTGACATCATATCGCATGCCAAAAACAGAGAGTTCGTCCCATACACAAGCCTGCAGTACACCAGTATCCTTCCCTGGCATCGGATCAAGATCCTCGAGCACTAACCGGCAGCAAGCCACTTGATTCTTGAGGCAGCCATGACTAGTTCGTAAGCAAAGACTCTGCTCTGCTTCGATATCAAGCAGCACGCTTACGAAAACTCCTACGCAAGTCTGGACAGTCTGGATCAACTCAACCGTGAATTCGAAATCTTAGCTCAATAGAGCTCAGACGGTAACTTAGACCAGAACGTGTCAGCACGGTACGGGTAGTTCTGTCACACGCTACCGGTTCACCTTAGGATTCCATCATAGCTTGTCCGCTGTGTTCGGCCGGGTTGCTTTGGTGGTGTCCGAGTGGCGATCGCGAGGTGTTTTCAATTCGAGTCGCTCAAGCTGTGTCATTCCCAGCCGACCTGCTTGCTGTTGTTAACAGTTCTTGGCATGTTGCCGTTCCCCGAGGTGTCGGTTCCCTCACGGCAGAGCCGCTGCTGTTGCTGCCTTTGCAGCGTCTTGCGGGAGAGGTCCAGGCCTGTTGGGGCTTTGCAGGAGCCGTTTCGGGGTCGGAATACTTAGCAGACTTAGCACCCCCCCCCCTTGAGGCTCCGAAACTCTCTTAATCAAAAAAGGTGCTATACCAGGTTCCTCACGTGTTTGCATGCCTGTGAGGGTATGCAGGGACCGCATGTACGGTCGGTTCTCCATGGGTCGGAATCAGACACATCCAGGACCTGCGGCGTCTGACATCACCAGGGAGGGAACTGGGAATTGAGGTGCCGCTATATTAAAAGCTTCCAAAGCTTCCGCATGGTTCTCTTCTCCTCCTCGTGTACCAGAAGCACTGTGCTATCAGCAGACTTATGATCACTGCACCGATGTTCCCGGTACTTTCCCCAGGTCGCTTCGATACAGCAGCCCAACACATCCTCAACCTCATTCCGGACGATGCCGGGGACTCTGCAGGAGCGGAGCAGAGAACAGTCAATATCATATCCCTAAACCCTAAACCCTAAACCCATATCAAAACAGTGAGTCAAAAAGTGCGAGAGGTTCTCGAACCGGTTGGGTTCAGAGTACGTGTGGCAATCAACGTCGGCGTGACTCAGCCCCAATGAAGCCATATGCTCGATGCTGTACCGAAAGTAAAGCTGACTTCGACTCCTACACCCTCAAGGCCGTGCTAAAGTTCTGCATCCTAGAGTCTGTCTAGAGTGTGCGTTAGGCCCGTCCCGAAAAATTCACAAACCGAAAGAACTTCTAAGAAGCTGTCCAGGAGTCCAGATGCGCTTCTGCGCCGCCCGAGCCCGAGCGGGTGAGCCTCCGCTGCCCCGCGGAGGGCTGTCCTTCGGCGGACCTGGCAGGCTGCTTGTTTATCACGTAGTGTAGAAGCCTCAGATTCCAGATCGTGTTGGGACGGTTGGCGCCGGGATGCTGTTGGAGGGATCTTCCACATTAGGGTTTGAGCTGGCAGGAGGTGTTGGGCTGGCAGCGCCTTGAGATCTCACTACCAGGCTAAAGGGAACTTCCGGGCTTTGGACTGTTTGGGGTGTTCTGATGGGGTTCTGTGCAGTAGGTAGGCTGCCCACAGGATGTTTGCGAGGATTTCGCACGGATTCCTCCAATGTGGCAGCAACCTGAAATCTGTAGATCAGCTGCCAGGGTGACGATGCTGAAGCTACGCGATGGTGCAGCTGTGGCCGCAGCCTGCAGAAGCTTGTCTGTTTATCTTCGCGGACAATGTTAGTCTAGACAGACATATAAAGTCGGATGTGCACACATGTAGTTCCGCCGCAGGTTATGCAGATTGCTACTGCCAAGTGGCGCGCGCAAGGGCGCGTCGCGAGGCACCGGCATTCGAATGCAATGGGGAGTTTTCTTGGGCCTTGCGCCGTGCCAGTCGCCATGCCCCATTTCATAACCAGCCAGATCTTTGTGTCAGGAACTTGATTGAGGGAACCC